ATCAGGGGGTGGCGTATACTCATGGCGATTACAACTGCGTTTGGTTCTTCCCCATGCCATGGTAAACTCTCTTTTTGTTTTGGTTGAGTAATTCAGGGTAAGTAATGTCTAATATAATGTGTAGAGAGCTAGATAGATGGACTAACTAATGGTATTGTTGTATGTGTATGGTAATGCAGGAATATTTCCAAGCACAGGGAACAAAATGCCAAGGGCGTAAGAGATGGAAGGCTGCTCGAGGGGAAGGAAGAGAACACTACTGTCCGCCGCCGCCGTCCAAGTAGACGGAATCGATGAGATTTTCCGACGACAGGACAGGTCAGGGGAGCAAGGACACCACATAGGGGCTACCGCAACCAGTGGCGGAGCCACTCACAGTGGAGGGGGTGCTTGCTTAGCTAGCACGATATGTATAAGTATCAATCGAATCCCAAAACCATTGTACAATCATTAATCACATTAAGAAGTTTATGCAAGAATTGTAAAACCATGCTAGATGTGTCAGAAAAGATAGTTGTCTGTATTTTGTGGTTAACACATCCAAGATTTTAGCCCTTATACACATAACCCTTAATCTATAACAACGATTTCCCCTTAAAATAAAATTGTGGTCATTAGTTGAATCCTGTGACTTACCATTCGATGATAGGTTCACAAACTTACAAGGAATTGATGAGTTAGTAAACAAAAAATGGTGGAAGCCAAGAAGCACAAATTATATCCATATGTTTATTTGCTCTTTAAGTTGACACTCATTCCTCTGGTTGCAACCAAAAGTGCGGAGCGATCATTTTTCATCCGAGAAATATATCAATAATGATCTTCGAAATCGACCGATGAGTGGCTGAACAATGCGATGGTGACATATATTGAACAAGATTTGTGTGCTAGTTTGGATAAAAAGAATGTATTCTAGAATGCTTTTAGAATATAAAATCTTATAATGGTTCGTTGTTACCGGTGTAAGTCATAATTGTATGCAGTTTGAGTATTAAGTTGTTGACTTCATATTTCGTTTAGAGTTGACTTTTTTATAATGTAGTTGATTTTCTTACGATATGAAAAGACACCCTATTAGCTAATTTTCTGGCTCCGGCACTGACCACAACGACCATTAATTATTTTTTTTAGCTTTGATTGTATTTGGTGGATGACATGGTACTTACTTTTGTTAAACAGTATTCATAGTGTTAGTGCAGCCCACTCTACGTATATCTTGGCATTTATAAATACAAAGAAATACAAGAATATGCAAAACTAGCTCCCAACCAATAGTATAGATGCTATTTATCCTTAAGAAAATTATTTATCCTCTCTAAGTACCCAAGGTTTATAGAACATTATCCTCCCCTGATAAACGAATTACCTTTTCGTTGTAATGGTACTGCAAACTTTGAAACCCACCAACAACAAAAAAAAAAAGAGAAAATCACCTCTAGTTTTTTTTTTATGATGAACCGGTTGGATCTCATTCATCGAAATGGGTTGCTAGCAACTGGCTTGCTAGCTAGGCAATGTAACCATAAGTAAACGAACAAACAAAGCAATGTACTTGTCCACTGCTATCAATCTCTAAACCAACAAGCTACTTAATCTGCCCAGAACATAAGTCCGGTGACTACCCAGCACACAGTCCACCTCTGACTTATTCATACTTAACATGGTAGGAAGATCTATAGCCTTAGCTACATACAAACGATTACACTGTTCCCTCGAGATGTGATTCACCCGAGCTTGCCAGATTAACCTCCTGTTTCAGTAGCCTCATTCGATGCCCCAAGCTTCCTTATCATCAATGAAAGTTCATCCTCCCAGGTAATCTGCAGAGGGAGACTATAGAAATTTACTAAATAGTTCGTCAAATAACTGTATCTAGAATGGATTCAGCAAAGAGATAATCCCCGCTCTCAATTCCTGCATTACACAAACAACACTCCAACGAGCCTGAGTACCCCCACTTCAACATCTTCTGCTTCGTGCTTATTCTGTCCCTTATCACCAGCCAAGTAATAATCCTGTATCTTGGGATCGGCTTACCCTTCCAAACAATTTTCCACCAAGGAACAATTTGTTGAGCAAGACGAATTAGATTCCATACTCACTTATATTAGTCATGGGAGAGCCATCAAGCAGAAGCTGGTTGTTTCTAATAGAGGCAAGAGTCTCTATTCTTCTCCTTAGCTTGAGAATTCTATTCCATTTGCCACCTCTAGTTTTCTTTTATATGTTCTAAGGACGAACGGTTTGTTTACCAATTGTTAGTAACATTTTTGGAATGGAATGAGGCCACTCACCATTCATTCAGTTAGGGCTGAAAATTGGCATGCCCCGCTGCCCTTGACCAACCTCTGATCTTGTCTGGTCTGCTTCTGAACAGTCAACTTAATAAACGGATCCGTCCCACCCCTGTTTCTTTCTTGACCCTGTCTGAGCCTCTAGGGTCGGAGCGTGTCAGGACGAGTCAGGCGAGTGGTTTGACTCAAATCAACATATTGATTTTTGAAAATTACATTTTGGTTTCCAAATTTATATTTCCTTACGGTTTTGTATCTAAATTTGTATTTTCTTACAAATAGGTTAAAAAAATAGTGATAAAATTATGGTTTAGTACCTTTATATGGCTCAATCCCCTCTATTTGAGTATATATACGTACTCGAAATAAGGTATGAGTATGAGTATGATAGCCAGATTGAGTCGAATACATGATTGTCACGTTGGTGGCATGTTCGGCCGGTTGAACCAGACCGGTTACAATAATGAAACCAGCATAAGTAAAATGATATTGTTTTAGTGAATATAATTAATAAAAAATTTATTTTTTATTTTATGAATATAAAAGTTGAATGTTGATATTATTTGCTGAATTGTTGTATAACTGTTTAGATTTGACTTTAAATATTTTATTTAAATATGTGTATTTGTTGCTTATAAAAAAATGTGTATTTGTTGTTTTATTTAAGTATGAATATGATTATATGAATTGTAAGTATTTTTTTATGTTTTATATATTTATTAACTTCATTTGATGTTATAACTTTTCACATTTAATTTATGTACATCTTATTAAATTTCGTAAAAGTCAATTGTACTACTATTTCACTTGTACAAAAGCTAATCAGGAAAGACAAAAGTTGACTTGCTTCGGCTAAATTACACGTTTGGTCACTCAAATTATACAAATATTTCATGTTTGCCACCCGAATTACTTTTCTTTCTTATTCACCACTAACTTTACGAATCGTTTCACCGTTAGTCACCCGCCGTTAGACTCCGTTAAGTTTGTCCTACATGGCAGTCAACTATAAAGTTTGACCGTTAACTAAATGACGTGGAAATTTAAATAAATTAAAAAATAATTTTATTTTTCCACCTCATCATTCCACTTACTTTGTCTATATGCTTTATTATATTTATGATTTAATTAAAATTAATTATTAGGGAGAGAATTTCTCCTCCTTCCACGTCATCTGCTTTCCGAGGCGGTGATTGAATGGAGAAGGGAATGAAAGGCAGGGGAGGCGGTGAGGTGAGGTCCCTGTAAATTTATTGTAAAATAAGAAGAGGGTGGTATCATTGGAAGAATCGAGAAGGAAGAAAGAATGACGAGACCGCTGCTGCTGCCGCTGCCGGCGATGCAATTCGTCGGGCTCGCCGGCGGGTGGTGGAACGAGATCAACGAGTCGGCTCATTGGCAGGACGGGATTTTCTACACTCTCTCCGGCGCTTTTGCATTCGTCTCGCTGATTGCCTTGGTGAGTTCCCATGGCTTTATCGATTCATCAGATTCCTGTGCGAATCGGCCTTGGTTCTCGATCGCTCGGAACTTGAAACCCTCGCCTTGTCCCGTTGGGGGAGACGAATCTGGCGCTGGTTGTAATGATTCCCGCGCCAAATTCCTAATCTGGTTTCGTATCGAGTTGGATAAGTTCCGAGTTCATTTTTTTGCCGATTATGTTTTTCCGAAGAGAAATCGACGATACGACTACAGACTTCTCTTTGCTGAACCCTATCACCCTCGAAACAATCCGACTTCCGAGGCTGATTAATTCGACCGGTAGGTTCGAGAGAGGCGAACTTACGTTGCCACCAACCGATCCCAACTGCAGAGTCGTAATCGCAGACAATGAAACCCCACAACACGCGCATTGCAAACCAGGCGGCGGAGCAGATGATACATGGACCGTGCAAACTTTCTCCGAAGAGTTTGGTGCGTTCTGCTGTCTTGTGCTTTGCAGAGGAAGCTTATACTCCGTCACAGGAAACAGCCAATTGGTCGAGATTACAGGGACCTCACCTTATTTTACAGTCAATTTACAGTGACCTCACCTCACCGCCTCCCCTGCCTTCCATTCCCTTCTCCATTCAATCACCGCCTCGGAAAGCAGATGACGTGGAAGGAGGAGAAATTCTCTCCCTAATAATTAATTTTAATTAAATCATAAATATAATAAAGCATATAGACAAAGTAAGTTGAATGATGAGGTGGAAAAATAAAATTATTTTTTAATTTATTTTAATTTCCACGTCATTTAGTTAACGGTCAAACTTTATAGTTGACTGCCACGTAGGACAAACTTAACGGAGTCTAACGGCGGGTGACTAACGGTGAAACGATTCGTAAAGTTAGATGTGAATAAGAAAGAAAAGTAATTCGGGTGGCAAACATGAAAGATTTGTATAATTGGAGTGACCAAACGTGTAATTTAGCCGACTTGCTTATTGTCAATTGTCATCCTCGTCGAAGAGAGGAAGTAGTAGACCCAAGTACGAGGAAGCATTAGATCTTGTGGATCCACTATAGCCGGGTCAGTCAACATCAACTGGTTATAGTCTTATAGATCAGATCTAATATACTAATATACTACTACTATAAGACTAGGGGAAAAAATAGTCTAATACAAAAAGCTTTTAAGTTTATTGTTGCTTTTTAAAAAGCCCTGTAATTGCCGCTTATCAATTCACTCACTACCCATTTCTCCACCCCAAACGAATAGCTCAAATGAATAAGGACTCCGAACCCGACGCACCTCTTCCGGCCGGCGCTCCGGCGACGACAACGACCGGGGAATCCACCACCACACAACAACACAATTGGCTGATCCAAATCAAAGACCACATCCCTCGAGACCTCGACCACATCGTCCCAATCTCATCCTGCATCTTCCCAGTACCCGACCCGTTTTCCTCTGCCTCCAAGCCCGAATCATTCGCCCCACAGCTCATCGCAATCGGACCCTTCCATCACTTCCTCAACGCGCTCATGCTGATGGAGACTTTCAAGCTCGGCGCGGCGAAGCGGGCTCGAATCAAGCTCCACCTCCCCGAGTTCGCAGCCATAGTGGACGGACTTGAAGCTCTGGCGCCCGAAATTCGAGCCTGTTACGCCAAGCACCTGGCCATCGCCGACCACATCCTCGCTTGGATCATGTGCATCGACGGGCTCTTCTTGATCGAACTCCTCACCAACGACGGGAACATCTTAAAATTCGGCAATTCTTCCTCCACCGACCGCCACCGCCGCGTGCCGCTGGACTCGTCGGAGATGGGCAAGATCGAGCTCTCTGTTTTGGGTGATGTGATGAAGCTGGAGAATCAGATCCCCATTTTCGTTCTGGAAGAGATTTGGTGCTTGAACCATCAGGTGCTGATTTCGTTTGACGCCGTTAAAGCCGCGCCTGTGGTGAATCGAATCCCAATTCATGTTCTGCGAGAGATCTGGAGCTTGGAAGAAACAGAGGAGGAGGAGGTTTCGTCAGAGGTCGCGGCCATCTATTCAAAATTGAAACGGAGAGGGAACTTCGTTTCGTTCCCTTACCGCCAATTGGTTCAATTCTGCGTCAAGGTGTCGCCATTTCAAGCTCGCGATGCTTACCCTGATCGGAGGAGTGAAGGAATCGAGCCGCGCCACCTGTTGGATCTGCTCTACCACCTAATCCTGCTGCAGGGGATCCCTAGGCCTGGTTCGAAGAAAGCCACACGCCCCAGCTACGATGCTGCTGAATCTCACTCCCCTGCCATGTCGTCAGCGATCTCTGGGCTGTGGGAAGTTGTGGGGAAGGGGAATCAACAGCTCGTCAAAGTCGTAACCGCTCCAATTGCCTTCGCCCTGCAACTGGTGGAGATCTTCGGAATCTCCGACCACTTGAAGAAGCTTCTGGAAGAGGAGAAATCGCTCATTCCTTCTGCGACAGAGTTGGAAAGCGCCGGAGTGCTGTTCAAGGCGGTGGCCACCGTCAGGCACGTCGGGTTCTTCCCGGAGGAGAAAACCCTGAACCTGACGGAGTTCAATTGGAGAGATGATCGGAACACGGAGATCGTTCTGAGGAATTTGATCGCCTACGAGTCCGTAGCCAGGTCGGAATCTCCCATCCTTGCCGGGTACTGTGAGCTGATTCACTCGCTTGTACGGACGGAGGAGGACCTGGTGGTTCTGATTGTCGCTGGGGTGATTCAGGGGATTGAGAAGAAGCAGACGGGGACGACCTTCATGAAGGTGTTCGAGGAGCTTGGGAAATCCGGGGAGGCGAAGGACAAGAGGGTGTCAGAGACCGTCGCCGGGGTTAACGCTTACTACAATGGGGTTTTGAGGGTTAAGATGAAGGCAACAGGGAAGAAATGCTTGCAGTGCGGATGGACGATTGTAATGGTTCTCGCCGTTGTTTTGTTGCTTGGTTTGTTCAGCGTTCAGACGTTCTGCCAGGTTGGTGACTGCCAGAATCTTTTCAAGATCGGTTCTTCCTCCGACCAACAGGCAGGCTCTTTATTGTTGTCGTCGACTTCGTCTATCGGCGTCGGCAGAGGTGAAAATCTCCTCCTCTCTTACTCTATCTGAGAAAAGAAAAAAAAAAAAAAAAAAGTTTGGAAGATTGGGCTTCAAAATAGCCCTGTGAAACCATCAACCATGGGCCATCAGTAGTATAGGCCCCACTGATGATGGATAAAGGCCTATGTGAGGCGTTGATGTAATGAATCGCTATTTGCCGCCCGTCGTTTTACTATTTGCCGCCCATAGTTAGGACAGAAAAGACGAATGTGCCCCTTCCCCCCTAACCCTATCTATCCATCTTCTCCCCTCCCACCCACCCCCACCCCACCCCATCTGCTCTCTGTCGCCAAACAGAACCCCCCCACCCCACCCCTCTGTCGCCGACGACCCCCCCACCCCACCCCCTCTGGTTTCGCCGACGACCCCCACCCCACCGCCGCCGAGCCGCTGCCGCCATCCCCTTCCTCTGCTCGCCGCCGAGCCGCTGCCGCCTTCCCCTTCCTCTGCTCGCCGACGAGCCGCCGCCGCCTTCCCCCTCTGTTGCTCCTCTGCTCGCCGCCACCGCCCAGGAGAAGCAGTCGCCGCCCGACGAGGTATTTTTTTTTTTTAAAACAGTATCGCCGCCGTCCGCCTGGCCGGCGCGGACCCCGTCCGCCTGGCCGGAGCGGACCCCGTCCGCCTGGCCGGAGCGGACCCCGTCCGCCCGGTCTGGTCGGACCCCGTCCGCCCGGTCTGGTCGGACCGATCTGATTGGGTTTTGGGGTTCGATTTAAATTAATATTTATTGTATTGATTTTAAATACAATTGTTAGTATCTTAATTATTTTAGTATTGATAGTTGAATAATTAGTATATAATTGATAATTATATAATGTGTTAGTTTATTAATTGGGTAAGTTGAAATAATTATTTAAATAACTATATATTGTAAAGTAACTATCTAGTTAAATTAATTAGATAATCAAGTTGTATATATCATAATTAATAATTGATAAATTATGAATATGAACAAATTGCTAATCAAATAATTTATTATAAGAGATTAATAGATAATTATGGACTATGCTAATAGATCATTTATTATAATAAATATGTAAAGAATTATTGGATCATTGTTAATTTTAAATAATTATCTATGATGTTTTAGTTAAGTAATTGAGTAAGTTGAAATAAATATTTAAATAACTACCTATCGTATTAAGTAAAATAACTATCTAGTTAAATTAAGTAAAATCAAACGAAATAAATTGCATGTATCATAATTACTCTATAAAACAACAAGTAATTGCTCAACAAATAATTTCCAATAAGATATTAATAGAAAATTATTGTCTATATTTAGAGATGGCGTCATCTGGTAATTCTGGAGGATCACGTAGTTCTGGAGGACCAGGAAAGAGATTGAAAAGATTCATTGGGCGTAACATTAGCGCTAGTGTGAGAAATAAGGACGGAAATGATAGAGCTCAGCCACAGCCTCAGTCCCAGCCACGGCCTCAGCCACAGCCACAGGTGACACCGATGAGATATAGGGCAGACGGTTTCCCTGAGTTTGATTTTCGGATGCCTAGTATGGGTGGTAGTGGAGCTGGTCCCAGTATTGATCATCATACTTCACCGTTTGAGCCTTCAGACGAGATTGACGACGAGTCGGAGGAGTATGAGTCGGATGCTGTTGATACACGTATTCCACGAGTCAGTCCGATCAGAGACAGAGGTGCCCCCAGCGTTGCGTCACCTGTCGTTACTGGGGTTCATGCTGTTACTGGGATCTATAGAGACCATGCGGGGCGTTTCTATAGAGCTCCACAGCCTGGTGAGGGCCAGAGTTCTACTGCTGATGTAGGAGAGGCCTGGGAGCCTAGAGGACCGTGTCCTGGAGGGCCGAGCGACCCGAGTTTGCTCTGTAGCTTTCTTGGGCATGTTGCCCACCGTCTGTACACGGGAGAGGCTGATAGAGGGGTGATCACTTGCTACGACAGGAGTGCGACCCTTTGTCACGTTCTCGGCGGTTATCAGATAGCAGATGATAACGCTAGGACTACCGTAGAGACATCGGGCCTTGCTCACCTCGTTGATATCACCTTCCAGAGCGAGTTGGACCCTGCTCTCATCTCGGCATTTGTGGAGAGGTGGCAGCCGGATACTAACACCTTCCACATGCCGTTTGGAGAGATGACGATCCTCCTTCACGACGTGGCACACATTCTTGGGATTGCGGTTGACGGAGAGGCGATGGTAGTGGATCCAAGGCAGTTGGAGAAGTTTGCACTGGAGGCTGACATCCGAGCACTACTGGGATTAGATCGTGACGAGGATGAGTACGGGGCGCAGGTTGGCGAGGTTGCTAGTCTGTCTAGGTGGTACAGAGGATTTGGTTTGTCGGGTGTGGGAGCTTTGACTCATTTGCAGCAGTCTGGTCCGCCAGCTAGAGAGGCTCAGTGCTACCTTCTTTTGCTGCTTGGGTCCACACTGTTCGTAGATAAGAGTAAGGATCGCGTTTCTGCTGTTGTGAACTTGTTTGTGAAGAGGCCGGATATGGTAGGAGAGTATGCGTGGGGGGCTGGAGCACTTGCTTATCTGTACAGGCAGCTTGGTATTGCCTCCCGGGCGGAGGCTAAGGGAGTGTCGGGTTGTCTGACTTTACTACAGTGTTGGATTTACGACCACTTTCCTACTTTGAGGCCTACTCGGTTGGAGCCACGAGAGCTGGAGCAGGGGCAGGCAGGAGCATTCAGGTGGCGCGGTACAGCACCCCGGTCGAGTAAGAGGAGGGATGCACAGATGCTGGCTTATTGTCGGCAGGCGATTGATAGATTGACCCCTCAGTCAGTTACTTGGACTCCGTATGGTCGTAGTCCTCATCTGACGGTGAGACGTACCTTGTATCAGGGCCTGCTCAGATTTGCAGAGATAGCAGAATATTATGATCCCACTAGGTGCCTCCGACAGTTAGGGTACGTGCAGGGAGTACCGTATCCACCGGAGCGTCCGCTTGTTGTGCGTCGACCTGCTTCCACGCTTGGATACTCTCTTAGCTACCATTCTGTCTATGATTCGTATTGGAACAACTTGGGGGCGCATAGTGTGCATCTGGACGTTTTTTCTACTCAGATACGACGTAGGCCATGGGAGTTTGCTGAGAATTACATGACGTGGTACATTAGGCACTCGCACCCACATATACTGAGTGACAGCCGACCTGTTGATGACATCTCGGATGCTGATACGGTTAGTACAATTATATTTTAAATTATTTGTATTAAATTATTTGTAACTAATATGTATTTAAATTGTATGGTTTTTTATTACAGTTGTCACGCGAGATGTGGGTTGAGATATCTCCCGTGATGGATGCTGCACAGGGTAGTAGGGAGGAGTGGATGGCTAGCGCCAACGAGTACTACGACTTATGTCATGGAGTTGGGAACATGTGGCCCGAGTTTAGGAGGAAGTCAGATTTTCTACCACCTCCACAGTAGTTGTATGATTATTATTTCATATGTATGAGTGTTATTTGTTGTTTTTAGACGAGTTGACTTATGTGTTCTACTACGACTTATGTTATGTGGTGTTCAGTTGCTTATTTGTTGTTTTGGGACTATGACTTATGTTATTTGTGTAATCTGATTATGACTTATGTGGTTTATGTTGTACTTTGGATGTTTTTATTATATCATGCTTCCATGTGATGTAAACAAACTTCATTACAATTTATTTAAATTGAAGACGTTCATTACAATTTATTTAAATTGAAGACGAGTACAAGTTTATTTCTTTTTACCCCTCTTTTTGCGTGATGGAAAGTTACTCGCCGCACCCCCAAGATCGAACCACATTTGACTAAACGGCGCGAAATATGTCTCCCATCCATCCACGCTTGCTTGGTGACCGTCTGGCCACATGCCATGTGGCGGGGGCATCGGTATCTTGTCCGCCGGGAAAGAGAGGTTGATCCAATGGTTCTGGACGAAATGCACAACAATGACTCCTCTAGGGTGGGCTTCCCCATATATGTTGTCCACTGGCAGAATGGTGCAGTTGTACGATTGCGGAGTTGGGTAGAAGTAATGGCTGTACATGACAACCGCCAAATTAAATAGTGTGGCAAATACGAATAGATCCACACCCATCATCCAATGATGTTGAGTCGTTGGTTCTGTAGTAGTGATGTCAATGCGTCTGATTGCATCATTGATGCCTTCACCGTAGATGGGTGCGTATCGCCAATCGTGCTCACGCATTTCTTCAGCAAGTCGTGTCCTCACCCCTGTGAACCCTTCTTGAGTACCATATAGTGCAAAACTAAGTGCACGAAACCCACAATGACCGTCTGGCGCCGGGTCGTGGATGGCAATGACAAGCGGCCGAATGAAGACAGGAAGCAGTTCCATGTGTTCGTAATCGGAATGGGCGCTGCTGGGTCCAGGGATATCTGTGAAGAAAATAGGTAATTAGCACAATTATATTTTAAAATATTAATATAAATAACTACACTTATGAAAAAAAATTAAATTGTACCTGTGTCAAAGCAGTTGTATTTGTTGTTATCTTCTGGATCATCACACTCCTCCGCTGCATGGTCGTCTGACGGGTACTCGTCTGTCTGAGTCCCCGTGGACTTGGTACTGGTCGACTTTGTAGACCCCGACGTTGTGCTTCCCGACTTCTTTTTCATGCTTTTCTTATTGCCTCGCAGTATCTTTTCCCACCACCCTTTCATTCTTCCAGTTGATTTTTTGGCTGGGCGCCCCTTTCTAAATTCGTTCACTTCTGGCTCGTGAATGTTGTCCTCCGCCGGGTGGAGACCGCGAAACACGTTCTTTGCTGCTTTTTTAGTTGCCTCTGGTCCTCTGCGTACAGCCTCATCAACCAACTCCCGAAGGTGAGATCTAGCCTCCTCCTCCTGGGGAACGTACTCCTGAGCATTGGGTGGATGCTCATATGACAGTGTCCGCCAATATATATGAATATCACCGGGATATATCTCTATGTCTCGCGCTCTGCCATCCATAACTTGACATCCACACCTCAAGCCGTGTGTCACAGAGAAATGACATGCACATCGGGAGTTCTCATTTTTTTCCAAGCGGGCACCCAATTCTTCTTCAGCCTCCTTCATTAATATAATTGCCTGCATGCTGACCTTCCTTCTCAAGAATGTGAATGGTGTACCACCGGATGCTGAAAGGGTTTTCTGTCTAGAGTTTTCCAACATCATCCTAACCTCCCCGAGTTGGTTAGTAATGTAGCGGTGGTTTCCTTTCCATACAGTGTCCATAGATCCCCGCGAGTTGTGGAGGAAAGTCTTCAAAGCGGAATGTGACGACTCAACCCTGTTTGTGCTCGTATTTCCTAGATGAAACACATTTTTTGTATGACAAACAGCCCACTTTTCTCGATGTTGCCACCACACTCCCTGTATGTATTGCAACAGACGTGGTTCTTGATTGCCCCATCTTGTCCTAAAGCGGCCAAACGCGGCCAACATACCTTGCTCTGACCAAGAATAAAGCATAGGACACCAATATTGGTCGTACGCCTCGTTGACCAAATCCATCCTGTTCTTCCCAAATATTTCCAAGCACTTCTTCTGCACATTGGTGTTGATGTGCCAAACACATAGCAAATGCGGGGTGCGGGGGAAGACCACAGGAACCGTAGCAAGTAGTCCACCTTCGTGGTCGGTGACGATGACAGAGGGCACGCGAGGATGGAGCAATTGTTGTATGCACTGCAACAGCCACAAATACGACTCTTTTGTCTCATCCTTCATGAGAGCACAACAGATGTTGAAATTCTTCCCAACTGGAGTTGCACCTACGACCTCCACCCACGGCCATTTATATGCATTGGTCTTATACGTTGAGTCGATCAGAATCACGTACGGCCAAGCCTTCAACATCTGGATGGAAGTTGGATGGGCAAAGAAAAGATGTGTCAGCACGTCGTCATCGTCCTTCATAACCTCTGTATGATAATTCTCACATTCAGCTTGTAGCAACGCATACTGCACTGCATTCATCTCGCCCATCTCTTCTTTCCTAGACTTGGACCCGAGGTTATACATCTGCCTTTGGGTGTGATGCCCTTTGTCACCCTTCTGCTTGTTTATTGTCTGCTTCTGTTGCGACGGAGGTACCCCAGCATCTCTCATCTGCTTAAGAGATTCTTTATCCTCCTGACTCAATTTATTCATTTGACTGTGGCCCTCGGGATAAAGCATTTTCTCATGACTGTGATACCCTCGCCTTAAACCGGTTCCTTGCTCCGCGACTCCTTGTATCTCCCAGAATGTAGGTCCATCAAGAGCATCTGGATTAACTAGTATTTCTTTGATTTTAATCTTGAACATGCATCCCGCTCCTTTTGAACTTGTATTGCCACGACTCTCTTTGGAAGGATCCGGCTTGTATGACTTCCTCTCCCTACTGCATCTGTCGCAATACATATAACAGATACCCAATGATCTTTCGTTGCCCAAGTCACGTGGCTTCATCGATCCCTTAGTTAGAAAGAAACCAAGAGACATCGCGATGTTTTTGGTCTCTGTTACAGCATCTTCGAAATTGGCATATCGGACGCCATTAAGAAAATGGTCTGTGTAATCACCGATTAGTTCAACATTGTCAGCCATGTCCACCTGCAATTATGATTTTGACTCTCGTTAGAAATGTACAAATTATATGATTCTACAAAATTAAACTAAATGCAATAATTTAATTAAGTCTAAAAAATACAGATAATTTAAATATAAATTATTAAACCAAATTAGCTCTACGATTTAAATCTAAACACAATAAAACTAATTTGTGCTACAACAAAACACAATCACTTAATTAAACTAATTGTGCTTTAATTGACTCTACAAAATTAAACTAAATGTAATAATTTAATTAACTCTAAAAAATAATGATAATTTGACGATAAGAAAATTATTTTAATATAAATTTTTAAACATCTTTAGCTCTACGAATTATATCTAAACACAATAAACTAATTAGGGCTACAACAAAACACAATCGCTTAATTAAACTAATTGTGCTTCAATTGACTCTACAAAATTAAACTACATGCAATAATTTAATTAACTCTACAAAATAACGATAATTTGACAGTAAGAAACTAATTAGCGCTACAACAAAATACGATTCGCTTAATTCAAACTACAAAGGAATTTAACTATGTAAAATAGAAATAAAAGCAATAAATTATAAATTATTAGCTCTAGAAATAAAATAGGAAAACATACAACACTGTTATGCAACCGGTCGTCGCTCGCCGGCGTCGGACCCCGTCCGCTCGCCGGCGTCGGACCCCGTCCGCTCGACGGCGTCGGACCCCGTCCGCTCGCCGGCGTCGGACCCCGTCCGCTCGCCGGCTTCGGACGGCGACCGACGACGGCGAGCGGACGCGGTCCGATGACGGCGAGCGGACGGGGTCCGCCTCCGGCTAGCGGACGGGGCCCGACGCCGGCGAGCGGACGGGGCCCGACGCCGGCGAGCGGACCGAACAAAAAATTCAGGATCAGCAAGAGGTTTACCTGCTTCGCTGGTCCGACGACGGGGTACGGCTGCCGTCCAGTGCCCGGCGATATCCTGACGAGATTGGTCCGGTGACCGGCGAGTTTGGCTGCCGTCCGGTGGCTGTGGTGTTTGTGGGGGGTTGGTGGTCGGGACTCGGGTAGTGTGTAAGTTGTTTAAAAAACCATTCAGCGAATAGAATATAAAGAAATATTTGGAGGGCAAAATTGTCCTTTTAGTGTTTTTTACGGGCGGCAAATAGTAATTGCCCGGGCGGCAAATAGTAACCCTCTTGATGTATACCATTTTGCATCTCTCTTTTTAGTTTGTTTGTAATCTAGTTCAATTGTACCACTGCAATTTCTTTCCCGATTCTTTTTAGTGATAGTGATTCCTTTTATGTGCTTTCTATTTGAATAAGGAAGGAATGAATTATGTGCTTGTGTTTGTTTATTTAAGTTGTGATTATCCCACGAAGGCTAATCAGTTGGAAAGACTAGAAACGTTCTGGCTGCTCTGCTCTCACTTGTGCGTTCGTTTGCTTGGTTACAAGAGAATTTAATGCCATTCTGGGCGGGGAACCATGAAAAAAGAGGGTGGTCTTCCTTGGCGCCCAAGAAACAAAATGAAAAGGGCGTAAGAGACGGAAGGTTGCCCGAGGGGAAGGAAGAGAACAATATTGTTCGCCATCGTCCAAGAAGACCGATTCGATGACATCTTTCTAGCGAAATTAAGGAGAGGTCAGGACTCAGGACACAACGTAGAGGCTACCACAACGGCCATCACCGGTGACACAATGATTGTTTGGTTACTTACACATGTGTATGTACATGAGTACCTGTTGCAGTATTACTATTGTTAATGACACATCAGGTAATTATCTTTTCGCTTTGATTGTACTTGGTGGGTGGCATGTCACTTACTTTTGTCAAATCTAGCTATTTCCGTTACAAACTTTAACGATATGTTAGAAATTTTGTCAGTTAGATTAACGGCACGCTCATTAGGATATCAAATTGACGTTTACGTGAGCAATAACTCAACCTCACCTGCCACGCTGATGCCACGCCATAATTTACTTTAAAAGTATTTTAGGAAACATACATTTTCATGGCCACAACTGTTACTTTTGTGACAGTTATAACTACAACTTTCAAAATACACGAATTAGCCAGAATTTTTATGATTGTTTGACAAATCTAACCATTTCCATTACAAACATTTGAAATACACGAAGTAGTCACGACCATGTCCTCGATTTCTTCTCGGGACTCTGTTTGAGAGGGAAGGCGGCGAAATTGATGGTAGAATTATATGTATAATACGCCCCTCTACTATGTTGTTTTATCAAACATGCCCTTATACTTTAGAATAATTATCAAACATGCCATTTTGTAAGATTTTCATTAAAATGGTCAACTAAGGATGAACTGAGATTCAGACGACCCGACATCGACAAATCTAAGGGAAATGTTAGTTTTTCCCCTCATTTATTTATCTAGGTCTAACTATAGTGAAATTTTAGAGGTATCTAACCATACAAAAGAAACCAAAAAATTCTAAAGTGAAATTATTAGAAATATTTTAGACATTTGTGTCGTTCAAATCAAGGTTCGACCATGATTGATGATTTTTGGATAAAAATTTTAACCTAAGGGCATGCTTGATAATTTGTATAGAGTATAGGGACATGTTTGATGTAAAAAATTAGTAGAGATAAATGTTTGATAAAACTGTATAGTAGAGGGCATATTCAATCAAGGAGTCTTCAATATGAGTTTGATTATAGGTCTCTTATTGGAAAACTTGTATAAGGTAAGTTGTAATTAGATATCGTGTATTGAATTTAGAATCGATAGCCAAAATATAATATTACCTCAAGTAGAATTTTACTTAACACATGTTTTACTTTGTATATAGACAACCCTGCGGAGAGTCTGAATGTGTGATTGAGTATGGTGAACTTTAGTTATGTTACCTATCAAATATATGATAACAATCATGAGAAATGGTGCATGATCTATTTTTTATGTATGTTAATTCGGAAGTAATTGGAGAATATGTTGGAGACATCAAACCTAACATGAATATAACTAAATTTAAGTATTATTAGGTTAATAACATGAGGGGTGATATCAGTGGCTAAGCAAGGATTCGAAACTACCCTTGTCCTTTTTCAGGATATATATATAATTATTTTAAAATTAAAATTAATAATATGCAAATATATCAATATAGAAATAACCGATTAATATAATTATTATTTTCATAATATCCACAATTCGTTGTCTACATTTTTAAGTAAGTCTCTTCCAATGTATCCACTATCCAACTAAACTCCCCATTGATTAGAGTTTTATTCCAATTGTAGATTTTTTTGTAGTGTAATAAATTAATTTATACTAAAATAAGAACAAAAAGATGTTGTAGTTCCTGAACACTCGTATACCCCCTCAAGGTGGGGAGTTTGATAATTAATTTAGACATATATGGCAATATTTTCCTCCTAAAAGTTAGATGTGTCTTGGCAATTTCCAACCATAGTTATTCAATAATTCGTTTAATACGCATATTATCCGTTTAAAATTTTACTATCTGTATTATTGTTGAACCCTTTTTATTTTCCCATACATCACCGCTATGATTAGAAAACAAGTAATTCTCCATTTCATGTTTTTAGATTAGTGTTTACCGTTTACGAAAATGTACAGTATTGGCGTATCAGGGATTTGATGAAAAAATTGGAGATAGTAAAAAGGATTCGATATTTGGGTCTAACCAATTAGATCCATTTGGGTCTAACCCAAATGAATTGACCAAATAGGATCCAATTTACCAAACCAAACCCGAAATCATTTAAAGTGCATATGAATCCATTCAATCCGACCCAATACTCATATGAGTCATGACATATTAACAGTTAGGTCAAATTATCCAATGAATCTACCCATTACCATGTCTAGAAAAATCTGCTTCAAACCAATATAAAACTTTATCGATATGAATAATTGGATTACGCCACAAAATTACTCTACCATACTACCACCCACTTTTCCAGTAAAAAAACTAATTTTGCGTTCTCTTCATCCCTTGATCAAACGATCTCTTCTAGGATCCTTCACTCTAATCCTCCACCTTCCATTCCTCAACTTCCTACTCTTTGCCACCCTCCTCCCCTTCCTAATCCTCTCATCCACCTCCCTACTCAACCCACAAAAACCTTGCAACTTCCTAGGCATAGCATCATAAACCTCCCACCACTTCCTATGAGCTGCATCACTCGCAAATTGATGATGATCCACCGAATCCCAATTACAATCATAGTCCCTATAACACATCCACGGCTTCATCCCCAGCAAATGCAACCCATAAACCTCATCACCGGGCCGGCGACTCACATCCTCGACATCCGTACCATCTCCCTTCACCTCGAACGCCTTGAGCCAGTTGACCTTCCGCGGCAGCCGATGCCACCACGTAAACATCTCGTTCAAGAAACCCTGGTCGCCTCCGTTGTAGGAGGCGACCAAATCCGTTTTGGTCATCAGGCCCTGGAACGCGCAGCTCGAGGGCTCGATGACCATGATCCCCGAATTAAACAGGTGCCTGTCGTTGGGGCCCGCGGAGAGCTGCGGGTACTGGAAGATGTGGTCCATGTTTCGGAGGATCAAGAGGTCGGAGTCGATGAAGACCACTTTGTCGTAGTCTTGGATCTGCCAGATACGGAGCTTGCTGTAGTTCCACTCGTTGTAGGAGTTTTTGGGGGCGAAGGTGCTGCGGATGGGCTTGATGGGCCGGGTGGTCCAGCCCGCGGAACGGAGGCCCGCGAGGGAGGACGGGGTGATGGAGGAGTCGTGGAGGAGGATAAGGTCTTTGGTGGAGTTGGTGAGCTTGATGCTTTGGGCCAGTGCGATTGCGCCGCAGACGTAGGCTTCGGAGGAGTGGAGGACTGTTACGTAGGCTTGCTTTTGATGGTGATTGGGCTGGGCTTGGAAATTGGATCTTCCTGATTCTTTTCCTGCACGTATGTAGGTATCTGTCTGTTAATTGAGTGAATTACATGAAAGGTTGTTTGTTGTTTGAAACTAATTAATTATGTGCTTTACCGAGTTTTAGATGTGTTTTTGTGATACATAGGTTGAAGTCGGGACAAATATTTTTGTAAGTCTGATTTTTGAAAAGGTTATTAGGTGCTTTATATAACATAAAAACATAAACTCTTGCGAAAATTTATTTTCAAATTACGTAATTATTCTTACGGTTTTAATATATAATAAATTCAACAATATACATTTTGACTATTTTTAATTTTCCCTTTTTTATTCCTTATTTATATTAGAAATCATTTTACTTTACCTTTGATATTAAAAAAATACTTTGAATAATTTACCAGTTGATTGCTTAACTATATTTTAAAAATAGTTTTTAAAATCTACAATCTAAACCTGTTATTGCAAAAGTTACAGAAGGATCAAACTAGCCCTTGAGGTATTTTCTTATGAAATCAACGGTGTACAGAGAAAATCAGCTAAATAAATATACATTCTCATTTAGTGAGTGTTTATGTAAAGTTAGTAAGGTTTTACGTGTAAATTAAGTAGTTTTCTGGAAATAAACCAATGGAAGAAAATTAAAGGGTATTGCTAACTACCAGGAAATAACCATATGGGTATGTACCCAAGCATTATAATATTAACTTTTTACCAAAAAAATTATATTGGGTAAATCAGTAACCACTAGATTTTAAGTACCATATTTGTAATTCTTTTTAGAGAATTAGCAATTACAGGCCAATGTTAGGTCACAGTTAACGACTACATGAAGAAAAGTGTTTATCGGTTCATGAATTCTATGGTAGAAATGTAAACATATCGGTATTTATAGTCCAAATCTCATTCATGAATCTCACCCTCAAACCATTTCACAGTTCATCAAATCAATTAAATTAAAGGAAAACAAAAGCACTAACCTGGTGCAGGTCCAAAAGGAGGAGCAATTTGGCAGGACCCGACAGGCATCGACACTTTCTCCCTCAGCCGGTTCAAATCAGGCTGGTACACCCAATAATCCCCTACGCGCGTCAACATGTCATCGCATCTGAAGATCTCCGGCATCGGCCCACAAGACCCGATGAAAACGACGTGGACCGTTCGATCCCCATTCCCCGCCGCGGCGGCAACCACGAGATTCGCCACGACCAGGTTGACCTGCAACCTAAACACGTCCCTCATCCCTTCGCTCCCGTTGTTGCTTCCCCCGCACGGCACCTCTGCGACCACCACGTCCAGCTCTTTGTACCGAGGCTCGTCGAGGTCGAGCCTCGGCATGGGCAGCTCCGGGCAATTGTTGTTGCTGCCCGGGGGCCCATCCTCGTCGACCCACGTAGGGAAGAACATTTTCCACGTCAGGTTGGCAGATACACGTTGAAAGTCAACGTTGACAACCTCTGCCAGCCCGAGGGCTTCGTAGGAGCGCCTTACGTTCTCGTCCACGTTGACGAGCCCGATCCTCGTCCTACTTCTAGCTGTGGTATCAGCATCCCGATGCGCTACATCGTTTCTGACGATGGCTTGGAGGCGGTTTCCCAGCCACGCTAGTGAGTCGGCGGACTCACTGGAGGGTTTGGGACGGAAAGAGAGAACGAGGAGGAGCAGGGCGAATGAGAGGAAGGAAAGACAAGTGATGAAGAGCTTTTGGTTACTAGAGGTGTGATGATTGTTGTTGTTGTTGTTGTTGATAGGTATTTTGGAGGATGGAGGGGATGTTTTTGGTTGGTGATGATGAGTATTTCTTGAGAATGCCATATGGATGATTTTGGTATATGGCTAGCTGGGCATAAGCAAATTCCCTTGGTTTATAATCTAGGGGGAAGAGAGGGAGAAAAAAAAAACAATTGGGCTAGCTACTAGTGGATATATAATGGGGATTTGTTATATGATTGGGTAGGAAGGAATTAGGAAAAGGTTTGTATGGATGCACGATGGAGATGAGACAATTTCATATTTAGAAAACCCCCCGGTTTCTTATTCCAATATTTGGAATTGTTGATTTGATACGATAAACTGCTCTTTCAGGCTTTCTGAATTTGCCTCCCACTAAGACAATGTTTTCAATTTTTTATTTGAAGAAAATTGTATATTTCACTTCTTAATTGACTACTAAGTATAGATAGGAGGAGTAGGAAAGTAATTAATAATTGTATTTGCTATCCAAAAATGGATTAGTGATAATTTGGATACATTATTAATAATTTGGATATGATTTGGTGGATGAAATAGACAAAGATGATTTATTTTGCTTCCAAGTATCTAAACGCGTTCGCTTTCTTTATTTTGTTCCAATAGTTAATTAGCAGGTGATTTGGTCGTTTTGGTTTTTTTGTCAAAAGTTCACTTGTAAAACAAAAGACAACCAGATATAGAAAAGTTACTTAGCTGGAAAAAACCAAGAAACAAAATCGAACCTCACAAACGAATGGAACTATGAAAGAGTTTTTTTCCCATCAATTAGGAAACCTTATTAGTTATTACGCCTACGACCAACAAACCGTTCAAATAAATCACGCAAAGCACAAATCTCTTCCAGCACCGTCTCACCCCGAGCATCATCAAGTTGCCTCTCCTAAACCTTCATGAGAACCACATAAGCATCCGCTGCAAAAATCACTGAACGAAGACCCCTGAACAGGCACCACCGCATCGCATCTAGGAGGGCTAACAGCTCCACCATGAACACGATAGAAGCCACCGCCACCATACCTAACTGATCATGCACAACTCATCCTCCCGCCCCATGAGGTGGGTCGTAGTCCCACCATCCACAAATACTACCAACTCTCGCCAAGCGGAACAATCTGATTAGAACCCTGTTAGTAGTTAGTCAATTGTAATTTGGCCTTTAATCCTTGTGTTAGTAGTATTGATTAAGGTTAATTTCGTTTCCGTTTGGGCCTAGAGATAGGGTTGGTTCGGCTGGTATATATATGTTGTTAGCCGATATGTGTAACCTAAGGATTCTCCGTGGAATACAATTGACTCTGAGAGGTTGATCCTCTCTGTGGATTAGTCTCAACAATACGTTGAGGATACCACGTAAATCTCGGTGTTCTTGTTATTATTTGTTTCTCGTTATTCTGTTAACCATGGTATCAGAGCCTATTCTCGAATCTTGGGCTTTGCTTTGCTGAAGCTTTGGCTTTCATTGTCGACCGCGTCCCTGTTCTTGCGGCCGAACGTTTTTTGGGTCCCCGTCCAAGTCTGTCTTCTGATTTGTGCGGCCTTGGTTTTTGGTGGCACTTCTTGTCTCGTTGCTGACTTTTGGGGATTGATATTTCTATCGTTGGAGTTTGTTATCTACTGCTTGCATGTGTTTGGCTTCCTTTGGCTTTTGAGGATTGATTTTGCTAGCTTTGGAATTTGATCTCTGTTGCTTGTGCCGCATCCCAATTCTCCTTTGCCCTGGGTATTTTCAGACCTTTTTTTTGCTTCTTGTTCTCCTGGGTTGCTTCATTTTGGATGCATCGAAGCTTGACACGGTTGCAGTTCGGTTTAATGACAAAAACTTTGCCCTTTGGGAGATGCAACTCCGCCTTTTTGTTCAGGGGCACCGACCTTTATGGACTTCTTGATGGAACCTTGGCCAAGCTTTCTACTGATGCTCCGGCCAAGGATAGGGAGGATTGGGAGGTTCATAATGCTCAAGTTATGGTGTGTATCTTGTCTTCTGTTGAACCCTCAATTGTGCTTAGCTTACATGGTTTTACCTCTGCCAATGCCATGTGGAATCATCTTGTTGCTGTTCACTCCCAGCCCAACCCTTCTCTCAAATATGAAGTGGAGCTCGACTTAGCTCGTCTCCATCAGGGCAATATGGATGTTCGGACGTATTATCATGCAGCAGTGAACTTGTGGACCGAGCTTGATCAGTTGACCACGTCTCTAGCTCTCATATGATGCAGTATTTAATGAAGTTGCAGGGTGATTTTGAAGGGATCCGGGCTTCCTTGCTTCATCGCAACGTCACCAAGATTGAGGATGTCCTTGGGGAGCATGTACGTGAGGAGACTAGGCTCCGCAGTCAAGCAAAGCTTGACGTTCATCAGTCGGCCGATTCTGGGTCCGCCTTCTCGGTCTCCAAGGACTCCTCGAGTAAACCTGCCTCATCAGACCAGTCTGTCTTTGCTGTTGGCTCGGATAAGCCTCATTTTCATCGTACCCCCTTTGGAGAGATTGTTTGCTTCTTCTGCAAGGAACTGTGACATATTCATAATCGTTGTCTGAAGCGCAACGTTTGAAACTACTGCAAGGAGTCTGGCCACAAGATTGGTGATTGCCCGATCCTAGCTAAGCGTGACCGGTCTCGCGGTGCTAGTCCTTCTGGTTCCTCCGGCTCCTCTCGCCAGCCACTACTGGCCAGGCGTACGCAACCACAGCTCTCCATGCCGTCTTGACCTCGACCTCTTCCTCCCCTGGAGTCCCGGCGGAGTTCATTCCCTAACCTGTTCAGAAGGCAAGCAAAGAGGCCTTGCCTACCGCTCTTGGTTCTGTTATTACTGCGGGCATGTCTACTCTTTCTCCTGCTTCTTGGCATCTTGACTCTGCAGCGTTTAATCATATGACCGGGTCTCATCTGTTATTTCGTTCTCTACGGCCACATTCTTCTATTATGTTACAAGTTGCGAATGGTTCTTGTTTACCGGCTCAGGGAATTGGTGATATTGCTCAGAAACGGTTGTGTCTTTCTGATACCTTATATGTGCCTCATCTCGTCCCTAGTCTCATGTCAGTAGGACACTTGACTGACGAGGGCTATTGTATAATCTTTGATGCACGTGGTTGTGTGATGCAGGACATGAGAACGGGGAAGGAGAGAGGCCGCGGGACTAAGGTGGGTCGTGTGTTCCCCCTCGACAGCTAAACAGGGTCTTTGGTAGCTACGGATTCTGGTGGTGATGTGGGTGATTTGTGCTCGGCTCTAGTTTGTGATCCTGTGGGGAGGGCGAGTAATACATTTGGTTTTAGTTTTTATGTTAAAGTTTCCAATTGGGATTTGTGGCATCGTCGGCTAGGCCACCCGAATAATGCACGTTTACATGAGATGTTTAAAAACAAGTTATTGTCGGGTAGTTCGATTTCGGATTCTCGTGATTGTGTGCATTGCATTGAGGCTAAGCTGTCTCAACAATCGTTTACGTCCAGTTCCACTGATTATTCTGATCCCTTTGACTTGGTTCATACTGATTCGTGGGGACCTTCTCCTGTGACTTCTCATGTTGGCTTTCATTACTTTGCCCTCTTTGTTGATCATGTCACGAGATTTACCTAGGTTTACTTTCTGCGCCACAAGTCCGATTTGCTTTCAGTGCCTAGGAGTTTTTGCAAATGGTGAAAACCCAATTTGGGAGACGGGTTAAAAAATTTCGATCTGATCCGGGGTGTGAATTCATATATGGTCCATTACAGGCTGTGTTTAGAGAGTTGGGCATTTTACCACACCAGTCTCGTCCTGGAGTTTCTCAACAGAACGGGCTGGTTGAGCGTGAAAATCGCCATGTTTTAGAACTCACTCGAGCTCTCCTTTTTCAGTCCTGTGTTCCTAATGGTTTTTGGGTAGAAGCAGTTCATATGGTAGTACATCTTATTAATCGACAAGTAACTCCGGTTCTTGATAACCGTAGTCCGTATGAAGCATTGTTTGGGAGAAACCTGATTATCAAAGTCTACGAGTGTTTGGTTGTGTTTGCTATGTCCTGTTACCCCGCCGTGAACGTCATAAACTTGCTCCTAAAGCATCTAAGTGTGTTTATTGGTTACAGTGATAAACACAAAGGTTATGTTTGCTATGATGTGGCAAATCAGCGCGTTCGTATCTCATGTAACGTAGATTTTCTTGAGCACATATCCTACTATGGATCGGTTGATCAGCCGTCTCAATCTGATCTTGAGTTTCTTAGTCCTTTGCCTGATATTCCTTCTTGTGATGCTATTGGTGGTGATCTTCCTGATCCTCCATCACCACAACATGAGACGTCTTCCCTTCCTTATGATTGGTCAGCATCTTCCCCAAGCTCGGCCACGCACCATACCTCCTAGCTCTCGACCCCATCTCATGCCACTACCGTTCAACAGTCCTCTTCTTCCTCGGGTGAAGTGTCTCCGCCTGCTCTTGCTCAGTCTCCTGTCCATGAGGACGTTGCTCCTCCACTTCGTCGTTCCCTGCGTGCAACCAAGGGTGTCCCACTTCCTCACATGTCGGACTTTGTTGCATTTTCTACTCCTCACATCCCTATTCCAACCACGTTTAAACAAGCCAGTGGGCATCCAGAATGGGATAATACTATGAATGTTGAAATTCATGCTCTTGAAGCTAATCATACATGGGATGTCGTGGATCGCCCTCCTACTACGCCTGTTATTGGTTCAAAGTGGGTATATAATGTCAAACTACATCCAGATGGTTCTCTTGAGCGGTTTAAGGCCCGGGTTGTTGCCTAAGGTTTTAGGCAGGAATACGGGATTGCTTACGAAGAAACTTTTGCTCCAGTAGCCAAAATGCAGACTGTTCGTACTTTGTTTGTTGTTGCTGCCATGCGAGGGTGGCCACTGCAGCAGGTTGATGTGAAGAATGCTTTTTTCCATGGGATCTTAAGAAAACTATTTATATGGAATGCCCTCCGGGTTACTTGCTTGGCGACAAATCTAAGGTATGTCTGCTTCGCCGCTCCCTCTATGGCCTTAAGCAGGCTCCCCGTGCTTGGTTTGAAATATTCCATGATACGATTCTGTCAGCGGGTTTTGTTCAGAGTAATACTGATCCATCCTTGTTCCTACAACGCGCAGTCTCTGGGATTACTGTGTTACTCATTTATGTTGATGATATGTTGGTGAGTAGTGATGATATTGATGGCATTCAGTCTCTTACCAGTACTCTGTGTGCATCCTTTAATCTTAAAGAGCTCGAGGATGTCTCTTACTTTCTCGGTCTTGAGGTTCACCGGACTCCTGCAGGTTTACTGGTCAGTCAACAGAAGTACATTATTGATTTGCTTGAGACTGCTCATATGGATGGTTGTGAACCATGTGCTACTCTGATGGAGCAGAATTTGAAGTTACGGCAGACAGATGAAGACTTGCTTCCTGATGGTTCGTCTTATCGCATTCTTGTTGGGAGTTTGATCTATCTTACCCATACTCGACCGGATATTTCATACGCTGTTCAGGAAGTTAGTCAGTTCATGGCTGCCCCCCGTACTACTCACGTGGTAGCTGTCACCAGGATCCTTCGGTATCTTCGTGGTACTTCTGATGTGGGCTTGTTCTTTCCCTCGTTTGGGGATGCGGTTATCGAGGCTTATGCGGATGCTGATTATGTTGGATGTCTTGATACTCGTCGCTCTACTTCTGGCTGGTGTATCCGGATTGGATCTTCTTTTGTATCTTGGCGGTGTAAGAAACAGGAGCGGGTGTCCAAGTCTTCCACTGAAGCTGAGTATCGGTCTATGTCTGAGGTCACTTCTGAGCTCGTCTGGCTTCAGCGCTTAAAGTCTGAACTTGGTATGCCGTGTGTTGTTCCTATGCGCTTGTATGCTGATAATACGAGTGCTATTCGTATTGCTACGAATCCAGTTCTGCATGATCGCACGAAGCATATTGAAGTTTCCATGTTCACTATATTCGACAGCTGGTGTCTGAAGGGGTGACTGCATTATCGTATATTACTTCTGAGGAACAAACTGCAGACCTGCTCACCAAGGCAATTGCGTCTTCTCGGCACTGGTTTCTTGCATACAAATTGATGTTACGTAAGCACCATCAATTTGAGGGAGGATGTTAGTAGTTAGGGTAGTCAATTGTAATTTGGCCTTTAATCCTTGTGTTAGTAGTATTGGTTAAGGTTAATTCCGTTTCCGTTTGGGCCTAAAGATAGGGTTGGTTCGGTTGGTATATATGTTGTTAGCCGATATGTGTAACCTAAGGATTCTTGGTGGAATACAATTGACTCTGAGAGGTTGCTCCTCTCCGTCAATTAGTCTCAACAATACGTTGAGGATACCACGTAAATCTCGGTGTTCTTGTTATTATCTGTTTCTCGTTATTCTGTTCAACAAACCCAGAGGCCCCATCGAAGCCGGCATTCCTTGAGGAGCCAGAGTGCCAGGTACCACATCCCATTCAGCAACCTTCACGCAAAACTAAGCCAACAAAACCAAAATAGTATATTGGATGATGACAAACACCACCCAATTTTGCACCCGCCAAATGCGCAAGACCAGAGCCACAATCTGCATCAGAACAGACTGGTCCTAATCTTTTCGCTCAAGCAACCTGCGGTAGAATAAACTCATATGGCCTTGGGCCAGACCATCTCTAACTGAAGCTAAACCAGCCTCATCCCAAAGTTCTACCGGCAAACAGACAAGGGCACAAGGCACAACCCCCCCCCCCCCCCCCCCCACACACCCCGACCACGGTCCCAAGGCAAAACATGTCCTTAAGAACGAGCTCAAGCTTCTTTCTGAGCTCCACCGACAAATGATATCCAGATTTTAATAGTATGCACCCTAGAGACTTCACCCGTCCATACCAGACGATGAGGAATAGGAGAAGTCGATAAAGGGATAGCCCTTATGGCACATACGATTTTCTCCTAAAAAAGCTTACGCAAACACTCCAGCCGCCAGGATGGACCAAAGAAGCCATCGAGCCCTGAACCTAGACAATCCCCTGACCAGGAACCGGAAGCATAAGATGCAAGGCTAATACCCAATTATCCAAAAGCACAATCACTTGAGTCTCGAATGAGCCCTTCGAAGTGCCACAACGAATAAGGATGACGATTTTGACCTGACTTGTTTTATCCGATATGTTTGACTTGTTTTGGGCGGGTAATATTCGTCCTTATGCAGGACAAGACAAGAATGTGTACTTTACTCACCTGATTTTTGAATTTTCTTAATTATATATAATTTTACTCAAATTACTTAGAATTTAAGTTAACTACACGAAAACCTCATTCTCTTTAAGAATAACTATATTTATCATGTCATAGTTTGTTTTTCAAATTTTTAATGAGAAAAATGAATTTCCAAATATTTTCTATTAAAATATATACTTGTATGGATCGACCTACCCCATCACTTACCACAAAATATTTGACCTGCCACGGGGCTATATACTAACTTACTTGTGTTACAAGTTACAACAATCGTTTTTCTTCAATGGAAGCACCTTCCATCTCGAACTCGAATATGTTGAGTTGCCCCTTCTTTTCTGCACCAGAGAATATATACCTACCCATACCCATCTATCCATCTATCTTTTATACCTTCTAAGTCCCCAAAAGATTGTTTCAAAGTATTTTACAAGGAGGGACGGATGTAAGGGACAGCTTGGCCTGAAAGCAAAGCATAGTAAACAAACATCAGGCTTCAGAAACCACCACTCTCCCCTCCTATTACTTACTAACTACAAATCCAGTTCTTCGATATGGAAACCTGGGCAAGTCAACACTCCGGCCCCAGCGCCACACAAGATTCAGGAACGCCTCGACTCGTGTGGCTTCTCGCCTCCGCTGTGGAGACAATTGTCCAGCAGAACGAGAGGGTAATCCTTCTTGCCAGGGGTTCGAGAAAGAAAGACGAAGTCACCATCTTCCACGGATCAAAATCGCCAACACTGACCATCAGGCAGTACCTGGAGCGCGTGTTCAAGTACGCGAAATGCAGCACGTCTTGCTTCGTTGTTGCATACATCTACCTGGAGAGATATCTGCAGAGAAGAAGGGGCAATCGGCTGACTCTACTGAACGTCCATCGACTTCTGATCACCAGCATCCTGGTGGCCGCCAAGTTCATGGATGACGAGTAAGTCTGATCGAGCGAGCTTGTTCATACGTGTCAAATAGCAGTCAGTCCGTGGTTTGTGGTTTTGATCTTGATCTGCAGGTGTTACAGCAATGGCTACTATGCGAAAGTGGGAGGAGTCAGCACAGCAGAATTGAACAAAATGGAGTTGGAGTTCTTGTTCCACCTGGAGTTCAGACTCAATGTCACAGTGGAATGTTACAGGAGCTACGCTGTAGGTTAGAGAGGGAAAAAAGTGGAAGAAGATATTACAAGATAGAACAGCCGTTTCATCCCTAGAAAAGCTGAGAGCAGAGCATTTGGCTGTGCTTTTGAACAAATCATCTTCTTAAAAACCCCTTGTGCACATAACCAGCAACCACTGCTGTCCATTTTGCACAAAACCAGCACCCATTGCTGTCCAAGAAACAATGTTTCTAGCACCCATTAGACTGAACAATTTCTGGTTCTGCATACTGATTATATCGCCAGCCTGGGCATACATGGAAACTAAAGAACTCTGTACAAAAACATCTACATCAAACCCACTTTTAACAATGTTGCAGTGAACTTTAGTCCCTTCCCGTAGCGCAGATGTACCTGCAGATGACCTAATCACAAAAGGGAAAGTATAGTGGTCTGGTAGCAACCTACTATAGTGCATGCTTCTGTAAAGAATTATAGCCTTATGTCAAGGACCCACATTGGCATAACCACTGATCAACTTATTCCAAACCAAAAACATCCTTTTGATGCACTCTATCAAATAGGGTTTGAGCATAGTTCATGGTTAGAGATAGGTCGCAAGCCAAGGCAACTAATTTTGTAGACAGCAGCAGATCGAAGTGAGATCCCCCTCGTGAGAATCAGAGCCTGGATGCATTTATGATGCCACAGAGATGAACAAGAAACCAATAGTTGATGGAGAGGGGAGATGGAGCGGTAGTTAGCATTATTGTAGGGAATTGAAGAGGTGGTGATCACCAAGGTAAACAGTTCAATCCTTTTTGATAGTGCTTCGATGGCACTGGGCTAACATCAAATTCTATCCCAAGTCCAGACACTTCTCCAATGAACCAACTGGGGATCCCAAAGGGCAAACAAATTTAGCAATACAAATGTTATTCACATAAGCATTTGATCAAGCAGTTGGAGTGCATACCTTCCCCTCACAAAAGATATCTTACGCGACGAGAGATTTAACGTGAAACCCGTCCTAGACGGCCTGGTATAGATGAGCTCCAATGGGGGTGAAAAAATTTGGGTTGCAGATCCACCGCGAGGGTGGGAAGCCTTAACCGGGTGTGTGGTAACAAGAAGGACCGTAGTCCATTCCCGACCCTGTCAGGGGAGATGCCAACCATCTCTCCTTTCTACGAACACAAGTCATATATCAACCACTAAAGACTCTAAACAGAAAATTCTTAGACAGATTTTGCGATGTGGTACAGATGAAAACTTTAAGTGGTTAATTACGTGATGGTCACTAAATGACATGTTGGGTGCTAAGTGCCAACAAATCTATCACTGAGCTTTGACATATCAATCTGGACGATCATGAGTTCATGACAAAATAAGATTTTGACTACAAAAGCTTCGTAGCGGTGGTTATATTTGGACATTTGGTCAGTGTAGTTTGATTAGAAACTATATTGTTTATGTAAATTGCGTGAGATTGGTATAGCTTGTTGATACATGAACAAAGATTACATGAGCTTCAGATCACCACCATCGTGGTGGCCACACAGTTCATGGACGACAAGTAAGCCTGATTGAGCGAATTTGTATATGCTTGGCAGATGCAAGTTCTCGTGGTTTTGCTCTTGCTCTGTATGTGTTACAGCAATGGTACTATGCAAAAGAGGGCACATCAGAATTGAACTTGGAGATTGAGTTGTTCCGCCCAGGTTTCAGACTCTTGAGTGTTACAGGAGCCGAGCTGGTGCTGTGAACTTGTGAGGAAAGTGGGCGACGAGATTACCAGATTGACTCGCCATTTCGTCGCTAGAAAAGCTGAGCGAAGAATTTCAAGTGCTAAGTTACATTACCAGTTCCTACGAGGAGAGAGAGAGAGAGAGAGAGAGAGAGAGAGAGAGAGAGAGAGAGAGAGAGCTGATGCTACAAAATTTCTTTACTTATTGCACAAACCCTGCTCAAGAGCGCAACAGATGGATGATACAAATCCTCTGTCAAATTCAAAGACTACTGAAACTCTATTCCACTGGACTTTTTTTGCATAATAAGGTCGTCGATGGAAGACATTGATAAACAGGAATATACTAACTAATCCTACAGTCGAAATACAACTCCCAAGTGAAAACTACCCAAGCAATAACATCCAATTGGGTGATGTTTGCTTTCTAAATCCCCATCCTTACCCAAAAGGGATATGGTTGCTGATTCAACCCCTTTTAGCTCGATGAGCTCTTTCTCGCGGCATAAACTCGGTAGGCTGCCAGACCAACAATGGCGACAGCAGCTCCAACTGCAAATTAAACACACAAGGTTGCCATCACAAGTCCATGGATAAATCATAAATTCAGATTAGTAGAGATGTGTCATAAGAAACCAGGAAAAGTATAAGATCATAAGAGATCAGTGTGTCCGCTAGATCATCGCCTGAGATTAATTTTTTGGTATTAATTAATGACTGCCACTATGTCAACAGGAAAGCAACAAGGAAGATTGACATTTGCAGTTAAGCTGGGAATGGAATACCGAGCAGGCTTGAGAAAATTTTCAAGAAAAACATAGGGTTAACAATAACTTTAGTCACCATACTATGCCGTTTATAACAAATTCATCCTTGTACTATGAATAATAAGTCTTGTGTAATAAGTTTATAAAATCTCCTCCAAAATTGTTACTAATGCGGCTAACACCCATATGCTAAGTAACACGTGCCAGATGCCATAACACATCATAAAAACAAGGAGATGTAGAACTTAAGACTCGAATTGAAAGAAGAAATAAGAATTTAAAGTTATGTGGCTTATTGTGGCATATGATTCATCTAAGACATGTCTGCTAGCCATGGATCCTAAAACAACTAATTCAGACCAAGTTTTATCGAGTAACTAAAACCGGATAAAGGACATATTAAATGGATTGTGCTTGTGAAAACAATATCATAGGGTTTTGTCGACATAGTATAAGGACTATAATACCCATTGAACCTCAAAACATAAGGCAGAACAGTAGATGTAGGAAGTACCTGAAACAAACATAAGCGAGCGGTTGACGAGACGATGGTACTGTTTGCGACTTTTTCCAGCTTCAGTTTCAGGAATGCTCAAATGTGGGTGCTCAGCTGCGTTTACAATCCTACGGAAGACGTTATTTGTATCGCCCATTCTCGAACTTATGGGAATTGGAGCCTCTATCCCCAAATCTTGAGTGACCTACAAAAGCCAATATTTGGGTCTTTCAATCAGTAAACAAATGAACTGGAGCAACCTCACAAATCAAAAAGAGAATTTCTGAAATTGAGATTAGCACCCTTGTGGTCTCCTGAATTGCCATAGGGAACGAACTGAGATCATCTTTAGCTGCAATTATCAGGCTAGGGACCTCGTAGCCAGTATCTTCACCATGACCAGCAACATCCAGAAGCAATTCAGTCACTCTCTTCCATGAGGACTCGTCAGAACTGCAACAAAGCTACCGACTCAGAAAACCTGAATACTGAAAGTAACGAAGATCTAAACTCTGTTTAGCACTTCCAGAGTACAGCATACCTATCATAAACAAATACTGCAATGTCGCATGATGCTAGAGATTCTTTACTTGAGAGCAAGCCCTTCACTTCATCTTCAGGAATCTCTCTCAACACAAGGGTTTTCTTGGTACCCTGTACACAAACCATTACAGCTTTTCAGAGGAATAATTGAACAGCATGGCTAGTCATGACAAACATAGCACTATTTTTCCTTTAAGCCTGAAAGAAATATAACGGGATAGCACTTACACCAGGAAGCTCAACGACATTCGCTGCAAACTTCTCTTCAGTCGTTGAAGCATGACCGTCAGGACAGGGCCTGCATTTAGAATCATTCGATGATGACAATAAAAACAAATGTTTGAGAAGATGCTTATTATGATCAGATAATGACATACCTTCCTATAAAAGAATTCAACAACGACGTCTTTCCAGCTTTCTTTGGTCCAAAGACAAAGCACTGGAAAACATGTCTTTCTGATTGTTGCTTCTTGCGGTCCAAACGCCTTTTCCTTGTCACACGAACAGCGGTAGAGGGATCGCCTAGATATCCAATATAAATCAAGTACTCCACAGCACGTGATGGATGTAGAAGTGTCATCAGGGCCCACTGGAGTGCACAGAGAAGCAAAAGCATGGATATGTCTTGTTTCATTGGTGGCTTCCACTGTGGCATCAATAATTAAGGTAACATCAGCAAAATCATACCTCAGATAAGAATGCATTAACTGAGAGGCCACCCAGTGAAGTTCTCTCTGCAGCGTCCTTGTATGGAGGTTCATCCCAGGGGCTGCAAAATGAGAAATAAATCATCAGAAATGAAGTAAAAAGCATTAAGAATATGCAATAATATCCTCTGAGCTAAAAGTTCACAGCCGCTCGGATGAAAATAACAAATCAAATCAGCAGCTTGTGGTACCCAGCTACATATCAAGATATTAGGACATGAGAAGACGTCGGACACTCTGGACCAAGCCCAATAGAAGTAGGATACCTATCAGGTGCAGTAGAAAAAATATCATCCAGCTCAGCAGGCCGAAGGTTGTTATCCTGCCACAATGACAAACATAAAGTAAGGATTTCTAGAAATAGGAACTAATATTGTCATTGGACACTGTACAGTGAATCATATTGACATATGCAATTGAAAAGGACAAACTGAAACATACATAATCGCCGTCGAATAACTCGTAGATCCCCCTTAAGAAATCAAGAGGTTCACTTGAAAGCTCAACACTCTGCATAAACAACAGCTATAGTGAATAACCAGATACTAATGTCAAAAGTAGAAAATCTGCCAACACTAACCATAACCATCATGGTCATCGCATGGGACAAATAGTCCAACGTGTTGCCAAGATTATGCATCCAACGCTTTTCAGACACCAGTTACAACTCAAGAATTTAGAATTTGTCTTTCAGGACATAACAGTAATTTTATCCTAAATCTTGAACATAAGCAAACATCACAGTGCAAGAAATTATTCCCAAGGCCATGCCAAGTTGCCGCCAAACTCGTCATTCAATTTAAAGAAAGAAACTGCCAAAACTCAACTTCGAATTCAAAATGATACTCTTTTTTTATATGAAACCTGTGTGAGCCTTTATTAATCAGAAGTTTCTGTTACATCCTCCAGCCGCAGCTGATCAACGAAACACGGGTGATCTATCGAGCCAGACTTCTCCAATGTCCCACCGAGTTTCATAATGACACTTTTAAACCTATTTATTAATCATCTTTGAATATGCCAATATGCATGGGAATGTATCCCTACAGTAGTACTCTATGATCAGGTATAAATGAGTGTGGAACTTGAACTAAGCATTACCTCATCAGGAGCTCGTTTAAATGATGGAATTAATTCATCGTCGAGTCTGATATCATTATTGTAACCAAATTTCCTGAGGACAGTCCAAGTTGTCTCAAGACGCCCTTTTTCTATGAACAAGGCATGGAGAAAAAGAAAACCAGTCAACGTCAAGCCGCGTTCATTAACTCCTCCATCAGTAGTTCCACCACCAGGCAACTTTTCTTCAACAACCCTCTTCACACCCACAATTTCTGAAGGTTGCAACGGAGCGTTGAAACATTTGACCTGATCATCAAGACTACAATTAGATACTCACAAACTTCAAGTCTAAGTGCGTATAAGATGGACCCAACAATCTTGGTTCTCCGAAATGTATCACACTCAATCACAAGGCCATTGACATGACTACAAATATGCATTTTCTTTCAATTCCGTGTAAATCCCATACATCAGCTCCCATCTTAACAATTCCCCACATAGATATTAAATTAAAATGAGGGCAGGCTAAAAGGAATAGAAAACCAAACCTGGAAGTCGTTTAGCTCTGCATCACTCAGGGCACCATCTCTGTCGTGATCACAAAGGATAAATATCCGTTTCAAGGCTCTGACACACCTTGGCTTCAGTGTTTGGGATTCCTGATCGAATAGAGGAGCGGTAGGATGAAGTACTGCTTTTTGTGCATAATAGAAAACCTCGGGGATCTGGGGAAAAAAGAAACGGAAAACCTCCATAATGAGTTAGCCCATTCCAAAATCTTAAGACTCACTATCTCAACTCCATCAACTTGAACTAAATCCATAATGAACTAAATAATGCAAGAATACAAGCAGGATAAGATAGATGGTCTACGTTGAGTGATTAATAGCAAAAGGTAAATTGAAAAACTAAGCCTACCCAGGCGAACACTAAATGGGAGACTATACATTGAGAAACAAGATATCCTAAGCATGCATTAGTAGAGCATTAGGCAAAGCATAAGGTTTGAACCTGAATGCGCTTAAATGAAGAACACTCAATGCAGGTTTCGATCTCTCGGAACTGTTGCATTATCGGTGACATCACTTGCTCCAAGCTCACTTGCTGGTTCTCATCCCTCAAATCCAGTTTACAACCAACTACAATAACCGGCACCTTCACCTGCTCATGACGTTGAACCATACATTAGATGATGCAGAGACACTACAAGGGTCCAACCCAGAAAAGGTTAGAGCAAAACATAATTATGAAATGAAGTCGAACCTCCAACTGTCGCAGCTTAGGCAACCAGAAGGTGCTCAACCGGTCAAGAGTCTCCGGCCTATCACATGCATAAGTTAGAACAACGGCATCAGCTCGCTTCAGTTCCTCGGCAACTTTCCCTGTGTCCTCCAACCTGGCCAAAAATCAAGCCACTTCACTAAGTACAAACTCCACAGTCTACGAACCCAAGAGAAACGATTCAAATTCAAATTCCGCCCTTTAACCCCCGTAATCAAACCTCTAAGTTCCACACAGTTCACAATCTGCGAACAAAACGAAACACAAATCGCACACAGCTCAATCACCGCGGGAGAAGTCAAGAGAAGGAGAAATCCGTACTTGGAGGAGGTATCAATGATGGTGACGGGAACCCGGTCGGGGTAGAAATCCTCGGCGAGCCTGGTGGGAGGGAGAACAGGCGGGCAAGTACCCGGGAAATTATCGACTGCGGCAGTAATTATCAAGCTGGACTTCCCTGTGCCGCGGTCGCCAGCGACGACAATCCGGACGCCGGTCTTCCCGCCGGCGGCCAGCGCTGCCGCCGCGGCTTTGGAACTAGCTTTCGACATCTGAAGCTCTGTCTAGAACCGAAACAACACAAACGATTGTGCAGAAACCCTAAGCGATCGGAAGGCGAGCGAGAGGGAGAAGAAGAGTCGGGTGGGGGCGTGAAAACAGCAAAGCAGCTGAGAGGAAATCCAAATGGGCAGATGAGTGGGAATATGGAGTAGGCGGCAAGAATTGCCCTAAGGGAAGGAAAAGGGCATAAGCGTAAACTCCACGCCCGCTTTTTTTCTTTTTGTTGTTCTGGTTTGGGCTTTGGAACTTTCCTGACTGGCAAATGGGTTAATCTATCATATTATGGCTCGTAGTCATAGAGCGTTAGGATTAGAGTCGGTAAAAATATCCGTAGATATCCGCTAGAATTCGAGCTAAACGGTTAGTGTAAAACCAGAATTCGGAATATTTTTAGTGGGTATGGGTTAAACCCGAACCCGAATATTGCGCGTAAAGGGTGGACTTGGTTTTCGCACTATCCAACCCGAATTCGTCCGATTATACACATGCACATGTATTTTGTATAGAACATTATTATTTTTCTCTAACATATTTTTTATTTAGCATATAAATATAACATTTTTATGCAATTGTGTTGCTTTAATTAATTTTCTTAATTCTAGTGATTTATTGTTGTGTTTTTCCTCTTATATAATGTGAGAATACGTGTGAATGTTAACAGATTTGTTGGAGTTATAAAGAGAATTTATTACTCATTGATATCATAGATACCCGAAACCCGAACCGAATTAGATCCGATCCTTAAACCCTATTCCTTAAGGAAGATCTTAAACCCTTTCCAACCAAGAGGAGAAGGAAATTACTCAGGGCCGTCCCATGATATTCGGAGGCCCTGTTCGAAAATTTAAAATGTGGCCCTAAAATTTTTCTCCACAAATTTATTAAAAATAAAATTTATTAAATAATTATAAAAAAATACATAGTCTCAGAAAATGATTACAAAAGAAATAAATGATCACCTTTCTAGTTTGACGAAGAAACCAAAACCAAATTCCCAGGGCTGTCTAATGCTTCGTGGGGGCCTTGTTCCAAAATTGAGACGTGGTCTAAATTGACTTTTAACTATAATAAGACTAAAATGACTGTAATATCTTTCTACATAGCTTAAAATAAAATTAGGGTAATGTCTATTTTTTATCCAAACCTTTTTCAGATTCTTTTATATTATCCAAACCTATTAAAAATTTATTAATTAGCCAAAATTTTCATAATGCACCAAAATATTAGTCATTTTTACGTTATTTTTAATAATTCTGTAACTCTTTTCTTAGTTAAAATACTAAAATTTTGGAATCTTGACCTTCATGTGTCTCTTCCAAGTCAGTATCATGTTGTCAAGTCAATATTACTAACAAAAATGCTAACCGAAAGTTAACATTGGGCTAATTTTTAGCATTTCGATAGGTTTGGATATTATAAAAGAATCTGAAATAGGTCTGGATAAAAAATAGACGTTACCCATAAAATTATCTATTATCTTTCTTATTTTCGTAGTCTTCATGATATCATTTTTAATTGTTATTATAGCTAAAATTATCTATTAAAATCGTCATCATACTCATAATCAATCAATCATATACTAAAAATATAATCTACAATGTACGATCGGTAACTATCTAAGTGGAGGCCCCTAATATTCGGAGGCCCTGTGCCGGAGGGCGGGCCAGCACACCCTCTAGGCCGGCCCTGAAATTACTAATCATTGCCCCACAACCAACCAGAAACGTGCAAGGGTAAGACTGGAAGAGACTAAAAAATTAACTATTAATAATTTAATGGGAAACTGCCAAAAATCAAACAAACGCGGTTGTAAATATATTTTTGAGAATCCAACCTCCTCCCAACACTAAAACCGTTTCGCTGATGTTGGTCCGTCTCGACACTCGCCGCCGTCTCTCCTCCGTTTTCGCCATCTCGCGGCCTTTCTGTCGTAAGCACCACTTCGTTTCCATCTCGTTCCCATCTGTTCCCATTCTTCAGGTTTCGCCGGCGGTGTGGAGACAAGGAGTAGTGCATGCACGGCCTGCCGACCCCATCCCGCCATTCAGCCCTTTTCGTTGCTAGTATCCCAACACCGGCGCATCTTTTCCTTTTGAGAAACGATTCCCTTTTAATAACAAGGTTAAATATTTTGAAAGTGTGGTGTATACATGTTAATGTTATTAACTTTGGTGCAAGGGTCATCTAATTTTCATAGCATGGTAGATGTAGGTTAATAAATACAATACTATGATTAATAATACTAGCGTTATCTGACATCTGTTAATAATGTATGATAGTATTCGTTAACGACGGGTTGAATATTATTAAAATTGTAACTTTAATTTGTTAATAATGGTACAAGAAACATTGACATAAATAAAAACAGTAATAATATTGTGGTGGTTGGGCAATAAAATGAATATTGTCATAGTTTTTTTGTTTGACGACGTGGTTGCAATTTTTTACGATCGTTACTATAAAATGTTAATGACTTTGTTGATAACGGTATATACTAAACAATGCAAATCTGAATGAAATACCTTGTGATGAAAACTTAGATGGGCAAGATACGTTAAAATTTGATAATGTAATTGAAAGTTTTTGATAATGACCTTAAAAATATTAATAATGGGTAACAATACATTGATAATGAACACAGATTGGTAATACAACATGACTAAAAAAAACTTAATAATCACGTTGAAAATATTAATAATGGGTGAGAAAACGTTAAAAATGGAAACAAATTGATAATACTACAAATTAATTAAGCAGATAGATTAATGATACCACACTATTAATAATGCTCACACCACTAAAAAATTGATAATACGTTGAACAATTACTAGTGGGTGAAGAAACATTAATAATGAACAAAGATTGTTAATACTACACGTTACTTCAGCCAACAAATTAATGATAGCACACTATAAAAAAAAATTGAACATGACTTTGAAAATATTACTAATGGATGAAGAAACGTTAATAATGAATAAATATTGGTAATAGGTCATTATCAAATCCTCCACGATTGATGATAGCACTTCAAAATATTACAAATCATTATAAACTAAATTGATAGTAAATTTATTAGTGAATTAATTCTAATAGTGGTGCGAAAATAACCCTAAAGTACAAAACCCATGCAACAAAAAAAAAACCCTAAATTCCATGTCACCTATCAACAAAAACCCAACACCCATGCAACAAAAAAAAACCTTAATTCCATGTAACCAAGGAATAACCCTAAAGTACAAAACATATAGTGGTGCGAAAATAACATTCTGATACAAATCAGCCGAAGACGACGGATCTACGCCCGAAAGGAGAAACACTGGCCGTCCCTGTTAACAGAACGAGCCGACGATATGTGTGGGCCACTGTTGAAGGACGACAAGGTCAAACGACAGGAACGATGGAGCGATGTCGAAAGCAGACCGACGGCTATGTGAACAGAGAGAACTAGTTGGCTCGACTGCTGAGGTAACTCGACGACAAGCTGGGAACATTTGAGGGCGAGACAGAAGTTGAGGAGCCGACGGCGGCGACCGCTACCGAGAACCGAAGGAACGGCCGGAGAAAAGTGATTGAAGAAAACGTTGAGAGGGAACGTGGGTTTGGAGATTAGTATGGTTAGTTATTTGAGTAGGGACGTGGGTTTAGAAATTAGTAGGTTTAATTATTTGATTTTTAAAATGATTTATAATTCCGTATATATCCATAACAACTAATTAACTAATAACTATTCACTAACTACTTAAAACCACATTAGCCAATCACAATGCTTTAAGATCCTCCTTAAGAAAGGGGGTTTAAGTACATGAACTTAAGCCAACTCGAACGGGTATGGGCATGGTTTTAATTTTCTACCCATTTCTTTAGTGGGTATGAATATGGGTAAAACCCGAACTACTTTGGGTAGGGGAACGGATATGCAATATCCGTGCGCAACCCGACCCGTTGCCATCCCTAATTAGGATGACAATTAAATTCGTAATCGATGAAATTTGAGTCGGATATAGGTTTTACCCGTTTTATAAATTGGCGTGGTAGGATTGAGTTTTGGCGCTTTTCATCTGATTTGCATCCAAAAAGCAAAATAACGTTATTTTGTATGTACTATGAACGATATGAATGATCTATGGATGCTATTAGTCTTTCTGACTGATATACAAACCTAATAACATTGATAATTTATGGATGTTATTATCTTCATAGAGATATATTTGTCGGAATTTTTTTGATAATACTACAATTTGGATTTGTCGAAAAAATAATGTGATTATGCTTGTGAATCCATGAAAACTCATACATACATGAGTATCCGTTAAGTTGAATTGGATTTTATCTTCTAAAATCAAATGAATATACTACCGAGCTTTTTTAATAATACACCCTTTAAATTGGTTTGGATTTGGAAAAACCCGACCCACCCCAACTCATTACCATTCCTAGTTACGACAAAATCGTATAGCTACAATAGCGGGGAGAAATTGCAGAGGGAATAGTTAAGAGTAGCGCATTCCGGTAATCAATTTCCCAACAACCAATGTTTGTATGGTTGAATGTTTGTGTTAAAACGCTTGAAATTAAGTTGAAAATTAATCAATGATATTAGTGTTCATTGATTCGGGTCCAATTGTACACATTTTACCCCTCATTTCTTGTTCGTTTTATTTAGTAGATCACCATTCCTCGTGCCTATTTTAAGCTAGGTTGTGCTTGTTTTGTTACATTTCAGGTCCTAGCACGTGTGGGAAGTTCCGAGACGAGTTTTGGGTCATTCGGAGGTCAAAACGAGCCAAAAAGTGGAGGTTGAGCACTGTTCACGGGCTTGAGGCAAATGTCACGCCCTGAGACCTTGAAAATCACCCCCCAGGGAGTGAAGTGATGACTTCACGGTCTGGACTCATTTATCACGGTCTTGACCGCAAACCGCTAGAAATTGGCCACTTTACGATATGGGACTCATTTATCACGGTCTTAAGACCGTGATAATAAGTCCCATATCATAAAGTGGCCAATTTCCAGAGCGGTTTGCGGTCTCATTGGACTCAAGTCAGTTCACGGTCTCTAAGACCATGAACTGAAGCCCCATACCATGAACTCGGCACTGTTGGGAAAATATAAAGACAACAGCGAGGAGAGAGAAAGAGGAGTTGGTTTCTGGAGAGGAATTAGTTTCTTTCTCTAGGGTTTCGACCCGAACACCAAAGGGGAGTTCTAGTCAGAGAGAGGGAGAGAGAGCTCTTGAGTGATCTTGCAACTTAATTGAAGGCATTGATCAAGCTTGGAAGCAAGGAATCAAGCCTAGAAAAAGAAGAAGATCTTGGGCTACAATTTGTAATCTCTCTCTTCTCTCTCTAGAAAATCACCCTCTTCTCTTGGGTTTAAGAACCTTAGGTCTAGATTTTGCGTTGTTGTTGATGTATGCGACAAATTCATTGTTTGATTGAGTTTATTATCTAATTGATGGATGTTTTAATGAATGGCATGAGTTTGGATTCCATTTTCATGCCTTGAGCCTTTGACATAGGAGGGATATAATCCCCTTAGTGCCCACTATTGGCGTTTTTTGGTCACTCCTATCGTATATTCTTCGGGTAATCCCGGGGGGAGTTGATTCCATTGGTCTCCTAGCAATATTCGAAATCCTAGGTTGAATAGAGAACCTACCCATCCCTCGATTCGCCGTTCTGAGTCAATCTTGAGTGAGTCTATCTCCTAACGGTAGGGTAGTGAATCGATTAAGCGGGAATAATACCCAACATCGTTCCAATTGACGGAACTAGGGGTTTCAACCCAAGGGAGCTCCCAACCTTGTAAATAACGAGGTTAGTGGTTAGTCTAGGTTAGTTTAATTCTTCTAATCACAATCATAGGTTGGCTAGATAACGAACCCTAAACCTGAAGTAGGGTAAGCCTAGATCCCTGTGATACGATAAATTATTATTGCTTTCTTATTCTATACTACACCCGGTGACGGTTATACTTGGCCGGCAATTGAGATGTGTTAGTTAGAACGAGTCATTCAAACCTAGAGATCCTAATGAAAATTTCCCTATAGTGTAAGCCATGATAATTAATCAAACAATATTTGATTAATTTCTGAAATGAGTTGAAGATTAATAAGGATACATTTATTTAACCCCAGAATCTAATTGAACACTTACATTTCACCTAGAGGCTAGTATACAATTAACTCTCATTCGTGAACTTTCTATTCATTACTAGTTATCAACCTGCGCTCTGCGCTGGGATGCGTAAAATGTAAGGTATTATTTGTAACCTTTAAAATGTAAGGCATTATTTGTAATCTTCTATTCTAAGCATTGTATTCTCAATACATTTTTCAGTTGATGTAGGTAGACAATGCAAGTAGTAAAAATGTTTGATTTAGAATACACTGTGTCGAAGAGAACGCTAGAGCGAAACAGAAGATAGAGAGTGAAATCGGATAAAAAATGAGAGAGAAAGAGTCCATTTCCTTGTCATCCTCTCATACTGCCAACAATGTCCAACAACAAACCATTTCAATGGCAAAGGTGCAGGATTTCTAGGCAAAAAAAAAAAAAAAAACACGGAGATCAATTCTGGCATCTGTACATGGATACAAAGCATAAGCAATACTTAAATCAATACACAGTTTTTTAAGTCTTCAAACACCAAAACAGCAATGCAGGTCCAGCACAAACATCAAGTAGAAAGAAAAAAAAAGAGCAAATAGCAAATGCGGCTGAAGCTTGAGTACCCTTTCCGAATGACCAGCATAGCCAGTGAAGGAGCCAGCTCAGACCTCAAAGCAACACGGCGATTCCAACGATCTTCGAAACAATACAACTGCAGAGAAGTGAAACCATTAGGAAGGGAACCATTCATAACCTACAATGGTTTTTTACCTGAAAAGCATTCTAGTTAAGAGTCCTAAGCACCAACATTTGAGCAGAGCAATCAAATTGCAGTTTACTTCCCCTTCATCCATCACAGAATACTGATTCTATACCTATGGCTGAGAAACTGAGAATTATAATAGTTTCGGACCAGCACACCAACCTGGCCCCTATTTTCCTCTCCAGCTTTCCCAATGAACAAAGCTTCATACTCTAACACCGGGAAATCAACATCTTTGAATCCATACAACCACGAAACCTTCAAACAAACAAATTCATGCAGAAAATTACACTTAACGGAAGTCATTGCAGTCATCCAGTCACTGTCGCAAACAATTCAGACAGTTCTAAATCTACTATCACCTCTTTGAAGTTGTGGAAGGGCCATTTGTGGCGGCGTATTAACTCGGGAGGGAAATATCTGATTCCTTTAGGAGAACCATCAGATATTGATCTCCTATGAATCGCATCTCAACCGGCTCAAAGAAATTGAGAGAGCAGCCAGGTCCCCGAAGACCAGTATGAAGCCGCTTGTCCCCTCATCTTTGTTGCCGGCGTCGCCGAGTCCTCATTTCGTCTAATGAATTAGAATGAAAACAAAAATCAGAACCAAAAAGACTCCAAATCAGAACCCAGAAAGACAAATACATAAACACCTCTGATTGACGGGATTCTTGCAATACATCATCGCCGGGATGCGAGGCTCCGGCGTCTAGTCGCACTCACAGAGTTGTAAGAAAAGAGCTGGAGAGTGATTTGTCTCCAGGATTGAGATGACAGGAACCAAATGAGTCAATGGAATTAAGAGATGAAGACCTCATATCATAAACATGGAAGAGAGAGAATGAGAGAAGGGAGAAATAAACCAGGTAAATTAAAACTCACCATGAATGGATCGGATCCCCAAAATTCGGTGTGCCGAAAGTGACGGTGAGAGAAATCGGAGTGCCGGCATTCCAACATCGACTCGTCGCGAAAACCCCAGAAAACATATCGCCGGATCCCGTCAATCCCTACAATCTCATGGAGTTTGATAAAACACCATCAAACAAACGATTGAGGCGACCAGTGATGCAAAAAGAGAAGCAAAAACGAAATGAAATTTCATAGATCGAGAGCTCACCAATTGATCCCATGAATTAATCACCCCGACTTCAGCTGACAGTTTCCCGGCGGTCCCTCGCCAAGTTTAAAGGTACAGAGATCCACCAGCGGAGACATTGACCTTTGAATAATCCTGGTCTTCGACGGCTGGGCTGCAGTTACCAATCGGAGCAAACAAAGAGCAGTAGAGAGGCAGAGAGAAGGTGCAGAGAGGGATGATGACAATTGCTTTTGGGTTTGCAGAGAGCACCGACATGAAGAGAGAAAGAGAGCGAGCAGTCGCGAGGAGAGGATAATGAAAAGAGGGCAGAAAGTAAAATTCTGATCTCTACACACTTTCTCCCTTCTTGGATCCCCTTTTCTCTGCAACTGGGTTCGGTGAAATGTGCGGTGGAGAAGGAAGCGAGCTTCCCAATTTGGCCGCTCAATCCCCTCAAACGCAGAGAGAGAAAAACCCCAAACAAATATCCACAAAGCCTTAGTAAAGTTTCCCCAAAACCAAGACCCCACTGCCATCGAAAACCCACCAGAACCTGGATCCCTGCCTCTCCCCCATTGCCCAACCCACTCACCTTTATCTGCTCTCTCCCTCAGCATCGCCCATTATCATATCCATCAGCAGTAGCCTTCCCTCCTCAAAGAGGTGAAATAGGAAAGTAGGAGAGAGAAGGGGAAAACAAAGCCTCAGTGGAGTTTCCTCAAAACCAAGACCCCACTGCCATCGAAAACCCACCCAGAACCTGAATCCCTGCCTCTCCCCATTGCCCAACCCCTCACCTTTATCTGTTCTCTCCCTCAGCATCGCCCACTATCACATCCATCAGCAGTAGCATTCTCTTCTCAAAGAGGTGAAGTAGGAAAGTAGGAGAGAGAGAAGGGGAAATGAGTGTTGATTTGAGGGCGGCTTCCTACCCACAGCAAATACCTGCAACAAAACAAAGTAGGACAAACACGGTGGGCCCAACCGTAGACCAAGAACCAATAGGAAGAGGGTGAATAGTAATTTTAGGTGTATATGAATAGGAATTTCGGGTCTAGGTGAATAGTAAACCCAGTCTTGGTGTACTGGGATAACTTGTTCTAATATCACTTCCATTTCATAGACTTTCTCATACCTTTTTTATTGAATACCTTGTCATCTTTTCACCATTTGACAAGATATCCTGCCCATATTTTTGTAAAGACCTAACAGCCAGTGTTCTAACTTTTAACCTTGTTTCATACCTATTATCCTTTGGTGCTTACTTCCAAATGCTCATATTAACAGTCTATACTCTTTTAACCAAGCATTCCAAATAGAGCCCTATCGGCCAACACAGTCCATATATGTCGAAGGAGGCAAGCTATGTTTCACGATTTAAGAATGGGATTAAATACAATATTTTGTTTATTATTAGTTCTAATTTTATGTTTGTTTGGTTGGTTAGTTTGTTGGTTTTGTGTTGTTTCTGAATTATTGAGAACTTATCTTCATCCATACTATGGGATTAAATACAATATTTTGTTTATTCATTAGTTCTAATTTTATGTTTGTTTGGTTGGTTTTTGTGCTGTTTATGAATGATTGAAAACTTATCTTTATCCATAGTAAGAAAGGAAAATTTTGTGGGTGACAAAAATTAATAAATTAATAACTTGAGTGACCAAATGTATAATTATCCTATATTCTAATATAATTTGTAAATTTATCACTTCTATTATGCTTTAATGTATTGGTGTTTTAAAGTACAACTTGAAGTTGTACTATAACACTAAAGGTACAAATTGAAGTTGTACTTGTACCATAAGAGAATTTGACCTTTATATTATGGTACAATATAAAAGTACAACTTTAGTTTGTTCCATAAAAAGATTTTACAAAAAATATAGGTATAATTTAAAGTTGTACCATAACGTTAAATGTACAATTTCAAGTTGTACAATAAAAGCAAAAACTAAAGCACCAATCCGTTAAAGCATAATAAAATTCCTCTCGTAAAATAGTGTCATCCACGCATAACAATCCTCCGCCAAGATAAGGGAAGAAGGAAAATTACATAAGTTGGGGAAGGGATAACATTAAAAAAATTACAATTAAACGAATTTGTATTGAAAAGCAAACCAAATTGACCTATTATGTATTTTTTGGGTCAAAACACAAAAAGCAATTGTAGGGGTCGTTTGGAAGTTGCGATTGTTTTGTTAAGATTGTCATTATGCATGTATTGTTTACAATGCATCGTTTTTTTTAGCAGAAACAATACATGGATTGTTTCTGTGATGTGACAAAAACTATCACTCATTTTGAGTGATTGTTATATCTCAACTTTTAGTTGTGATTGTTGAGATAGTTGAGTTGAGATTGTTTTGTCTCAGCTTTTAGCTATTGCGACACACACAAACACACATACCAAACGTTGTATTCTACAATACATCAAACTTGACAATACATGTATAATATTATACATGCATTCTCAACAATACATCTACTTAACAATCGCAACTTCCAAACGACCCCGTAATGGGATGTTCTACCTCTATCTCGTGTTATTAATTACTCGAGCATGAGATCCCAATAATATCATGTTACAACTAATGAACCAATTTAGACTCCAAGTTATCACTAATAGAATTTGGCAAAAAAAAAAAAGTTATCACTAATAGAACTACCTATAGGAGATCGAACACACTTACTCGCTAAATAGCCGGCCAAATGATTTTTGTTCTCTCTCTATATGTATGTATAAATCTAATGTCATCAAAATTGTCTACCATAATTATGATTTGATGGATCATAGGAGTGTAACTATGATCGTCACTCACTACAATAAATTCGGTCTGTTCTGATGAAACAATTTTGTTATATTAGATACTTATTTTGTCAAATTAGTTATAAACTGTAACATTTTCTTTCAGTATATCCGAGGTTCTCAACAGTCTATTGTGACAAACAGAGATATTATGACGACATATTTTGTCATTACGGTTGTCATAATATGATGATATTTGGACTATTGTTCGTCATATTAGACGATTATATTTTGGCATAACTGTATATTGTGACAATGTTGTTTTGTCATACCTGAATATTATGACGCGTTATATTTGTCTTATTTGTCTCATGTCTAATATGACATGAGCTCTGTTTGTCAGTCAATGTATATAATTTGACAAACGGAGATGTTATGGCAACATATTTTGTCATTAATTTTGTCATAATTTGCTTAATTTGACAACATTGTTTGTCATAATACACGACTCAAGATATAGTGCATAACCAATGGTTATGCACCCATGAGTAACTAAATTTGGACCCTTCATTCAGAAAATCCATATATAAGGGTAGAGAATTAAATGCATTTTTATTTTCCCTTGTTTTCTTAATCGGCTCATATATTCTTCGTTTTAACTTGGATTTCAATTTTTTTTTTTGCACAGATGGAACCAGTTCGTTGTGCTCTACAAATTGAGATTCATTTTTTTTTGTTATAAACGTGCTGCTACGGATCGGGAAATCGCCGGAATCAATAAAGCAATAATACGAAAACGAGAACCAAAAAACACAGACACACGATTTACGTGGTTCACTAACACGTGTTAGCTAGTCCACGGGAGAGAGAGGGCCAGTTTCACTATATCGAGGAGATTACAGATTATAGAGGAGTATTAGAAGTATATATAGTACTTCTCCATGTGGGTCTAAACCTAATCCAATCTGGCAACGGAAACGGTTACAGAGCAGGCCCAGAACCCTAACCCAAATAACAGCGAGACCCCCGACTACAGTCGTAGCGGCTGATAGTCCGATTCAAGTCACATCAACAAATCTCCACCTTGACTTGAATCCTCTTTCTCTGAAATCTCTGATGTACTCTGCTCCTTCTCTCTCTCTCTCTCTCTCTCTCTCTCTCTCTCTCTCTCTCTCTCCCGCCATCAATGCCCCGTAGGGCGGAGTCACCCACTCAAGACATTCAGCAAGTCCAAGCAGTGTTGGAACTTACCATGTGGAATCGGCTTTGTGAACATATCAGCAGGATTATCCGCGGTGCCAACCTTCTTCACCTTAATCCTCTTCTCTGTCCTCAAGAAATGATACCGCATGTCGATGTGCTTAGTCCTCTCATGGTGGACTTGATCCTTGGCCAAGCATATTGCACTCAAATTGTCGCAATACACCACTGTTTGATCATGATGTAGACCCAGATCACCAACCAGTCCCTTCAACCATATTCCTTCCTTAGTAGCTTCTGTCAACGCCATATACTCTGCCTCAGTAGTAGACAATGTCACCACCGACTGTAGAGTTGCCTTCAAGCTCACTACAAAACTCCCAAGAGTGAATATATAACCGGTCATCGATATCCTCGTGTCAACATCTCTAGCATAGTCCGAGTGAGAATACCCAGACGCCAAACACTCTGTATCACTTCCGAAGCTAATCCCCACATCAGGTGTACCCTTAAGATACCGGAAGATCCTCTTCACAGTCTGCCAATGCTCCTTCCCAGGTTGTATCATGAACTTGCTGACAGCATTAACAACATGTGCAAGATCAGGTCTAGTGCATACCATAACATACATGAAGCTACCTACTGCACTAGCATATGGGACTCTTGACATGTACTTCTTCTCAGCCTCTGACTGCGGTGCATAAGCTGAGGATAGATGAACATTTGAAGCATTAGGAGTATTTAAGGGCTTTGCTGAAGACATGCCAAACCTCGATAGTATCTTTTGGATGTAGCTCTTCTGTGACAAGAAAAGTTTCTTCTTCGACCTGTCCCTGTAAATCTCCATACCCAAGATCTTATGAGCAGCTCCCAAATCCTTCATCTCAAACTCAACACTGAGAAGCCCCTATAACTTCTGGATATCAGACTTCGACCTTGCAGCTATGAGCATTTCATCC